CATTTCCATTCTGGAATATCCAACGGTTTCAGTAATCCTGATGGCCTTTGATGTTCTGCCTTAACCTGTTGACAGATAATACACATCTCCACGAACAGACCAATTCCTCTCTTCATGTTTCTCCACCAAAATACATCCCGGAGATCTCGGTACATTTTCGTACCACCTGGATGAGCAGAATAAGGGGTTGAATGAGCCTCTTCTAATATCTCATTTCTTATACTTTCATCCTTAGGTACACACAGTCTTCCTTTGAAAGTTAGCGCATTATCTGCAGATACTTCAAACCCTGTATGTTTATCTGTACCAATCTCGGTCTTTATCTTCTGTAAAAATGGATCTTTATCTTGTGCCTTCTTGATTCGATCTCGAAGTGTAGGTTGAATCATGAATGCTCTTATTCTCGCTGAAATCTGAGTTGGCGGCGTGATAACTTCCAATCTCAATTTATCAAACTCCCTTATCAAGTGTTCCTGTACTGTGGGTAAAACTGCTAACTGTGTTCCCGTCTTTCTGCTTAGGGCATCTGCAACTACATTAGCCTTACCCGGATGGTAATGAATTGTGCAGTCATAATCCTTCACTAACTCCAACCATCTCCTCTGTCTCATATTTAGTTCCTTCTATGTGAAAAAGTATTTGAGACTCTTGTGGTCCGTATAAATTTCACACTTCCCACCGTAAAGATAATGACGCCATATCTTTAAGGCGTGAACAACTGCTGCAAGCTCCAAATCATGCGTTGATAGTTTTGCTCATACTGCTTCAACTGTCTCGAGGCATAAGCAACCACTTTTCCATGCTGCATCAGTACATAGCCTAAACCCTACTTAGAGGCATCGCTGTAAATCACAAATTCCTCTGAACCTTCAGGTATCGTCAATACAGGAGTTGAGACTAGCCTCTGCTTGAGTTCTTGAAAACATTTTTCACATTTTTCTGTCCACTGAAACTTTGCACCCTTTCTTGTCAACTGAGTCATTGGCCCTGCTATTTTTGAGAAGCCTTCAATGAATCTTCTATAATAACCAGCCAATCCCAAGAAACTGCGGACTTCACCCACACCACTCGGCCTTGGCCAATTTGTTACTGCTTCCACTTTAGCGGGGTCTACTTCAATTCCTTGGGCGGTAACCACGTGACCAAGAAAATCTACACGGTCAAGCCAAAATTCACACTTCTTGAATTTGGCATATAATTTCTCATTCCTCAAAGTTTCAAGTACAATTCGAAGTTGTTCCTCATGTTGCTTCTCGTCTTTTGAGTACACAAGTATGTCGTCAATAAACACAATGACGAACTGATCTAAATGCTGATGGAATACTCTATTCATGAGATCCATAAATACAGCTGGAGCATTGGTTAAACCAAAAGGCATGACAGTAAATTCATAATGCCCATAACGAGTCCTGAAAGCAGTTTTCGATATATCGCTTGCCCTGATTTTTAGCTGGTGATACCCTGACCTCAAGTCGATCTTTGAAAACACTGCAGCACCCCTTAACTGGTCAAACAAATCTTCTATTCTTGGCAGTGGGTACCTATTTTTGATGGTCAGATGGTTCAATTCCCGATAGTCAATACACATCCTCATACTCTCATCCTTCTTCTTGACAAAAAGTACAGGTGCTCCCCAAGGAGATACACTTGGTCGTATGAAACCTTTCTCCAGTAACTCCTCTAATTGCAACTTCAATTCTTGTAGTTCTTTCGGTGCCATTCGGTACGGGGCCTTAGATACTGGTGCCGCTCCAGGAACTAAATCAATTGTAAATTCCACTTGTCTATCTGGTGGAATGTCTGGCAAATTTCTGGGAATACATCTGCAAAGTCTCGGACGATGTTAATATCGTTAACGGTCATTTCTGTATGTTGAGAACTATTGATGTTAACTAAGAATCCCTGGCATGACTCCTTCCTTAACATCTTTTCTGCTTGCATAGCTGATATTAGGCGCGGTAAAGACTTGAACTTTGCTCCCAAGAAACGAAACTCTTCCTCTTCCGGTTTGTGAAACAATACTTCTTTCTCATGACATCGAATGGTCGCATGATTAAGTCCCAACCAATCCATGCCCAAAATAACATCGAAATCTTTCATCTCCAAAAGGTATAAGTCTGCTTGTAATATTTTCCCATCAATCTCCAACTTCATAGCCTTAGTCATCAGATTTGTACAAAGAGTTCTTCCTGAAGGGATGCTAACCTCTAATTCATTATTCGTTCTTACACATGCAAAGTTGGACTTAGCGACGAATGATGTAGAAATAAAAGAATTGGTAGCCCCAGAATCAAAAAGTACATAAGCAGGTACATTAGATAATAACAGAATACCTGTTTGCATAATTTATAGTGTTAGACTAACAACCAAGGGGCGGATTTGGAAAAATGTGTAGTCCTAGGTAAAAAAGAACATAAGCAAGTGTGTTAAAATATTAAATAATTTAGTACCTGCTATCACATTCGGATCCTGCTCCGCCTCATGCTGATTTAGTGCGAAAACTCGGGCCTTTCCTTTCTTGTTCTTGTCCTGATCATCATCTTTCCTTTTTGGTGGCTCTGTACAGTTGAAAGCAATGTGCCCTGGCTTACCACATCGAAAACACATGTTCTTCCCGAGTAAGAATTCACCCCTGTGGAGTTTATTACACTTAGGACACGGTGTAATATTCCCACTCGCTCCACCAATACGAACTCCTGTGTTTGGCCTTTTACTCTGCCAATTACGTCTGTCCTTGTTTGGATCATTCCACTTTCTTTTTCCCGATGACTCCTTGCTCTGCTGGGCATACTGTTCAAATGAGGTCCTCTGATATGAAATAGCATGAGCCCTCTCCAACATTTCACGATATGAGGTGAAACGATGGGACATAATGATCATGCCGATCTCAGGGCGCAGTCCATTCTCGAACCTCCTAATCTTCTTAACTTCTGTATCCACCAAGTGCGGGGCATACCTTGAGAGCTGCTCAAACTGTCTTTCATAATCAGTAAGTGACATACTCCCTTGTCTGAGCTGCAAAAATTCTGATTCCTTGAAGTCTCTCAAAGCCTGTGGGAAATATTTTGCCATCACTTCATCTTTAAACTGCTCCCAAGTCAGATTACGTTGCTGCTCTTCCGTCCTTGTACGTGAAACAGATTCCCACCAGTGACCAGCTGCTCCAATCAACATAAATTCTGCACATAATACTTTCTGTGCATCCGTACAAGCAATGTGTCGAAATATGCGCTCCAGGCCTCTTATCCACTCTTCGACAACTAGTGGTTCAGAATTACCGTCGAAAGTGGAAGGCTTGTACCTATGAAACTGCTCAACCACTGAGACAGCTCCAGGGGCAAAATGCGGTGCATTCTGCTGTGGAGGTGCTTGATTTTGCCTGCTCAACTCTTGTACCGCTCGTAGTAAATCGCGCATCAAATTCGTATGAGTAGGTGGTGCCATTTCCTAAAATTTAATATGAAGTTACCAATCACACTTAGTACTAAGTCTAATAAGTTATAATTATCTATGACAATATATATCATAATTTAGTGGGAAAAATAAACGTGCATGTCTTAACATTTAAAGATAGGAAATTAAAACATTTAAATCTCGCAAAAAGCTTTAAGTACATTTATCTTCTTACCCTTTTTACATACCTTAGAGTCGTTGGAGGGTGGTCGATTGGTGGTCGTTGAGTGCCAAAGATCATTCACATATTTCATAACTTTTAATTTAATATTATCGTTAAATTCATAAATAATTAAAAAAATATTAACCTTAAACAAATATTATCTAGGAAAACAAGTAAGCAAATAAGCCTTTTATAACATGTGAAAAAGAAAGAAAATTCAATATATATATAACATCACACAATTTTATTTTTTATTTTTTATTTTTTTTATCCTACACTGTTCACGTCCAATTTTTTTTTTTTTTTAAGGAAATTATGAGAATCCATGTGGGTCTACAGGAAATTAAACCTATGCTCTGATACCAAACTGTAACGACCCAAATTTTAAATAGTTTCAAAAATCGTTACCAAACCCACACAATCATCAAGGTGTATTAAATATATATATATAGGTAAACATGCACACACCTTTCAATGTTAAAAGGATGATTTGACCTTTGAATTTCAACATTTTTGGTAATAATTAAATGCTCTGACATAGTATGTCACCTCCAACATTAAACAATTAATTTACCATTAAAAATTATAAAAGTGGGCAGGACTTGTGGGAAAATATAATTAATTGAACCATGCTCCAAATATTAAACTTCAAATTTAACATGAAGATAAAATTGAAATAACGCAAAGAGAAATAAATAAATAAATAAAACTTCCTAATCATGTTACTGAGAATTTATTTATCTTGAATTTCATAATTTCTGGCATTACAACTCCACTACGTATATATTATATAATCCACACACATGTTTATTGATACATATATATGCCTCCGCACGAATTATAACATATAGGCAGAATCATGCATTTCACGTACAATTAATTCGATCAAATTCTAACACCATGAACAGTACGTGACACTATTCACGAGAACAGTAACCTTCCTGTTCATCATTTTTTTTTAAAGGAAAAATAATGCATATTTGCATGCATTCACAAAATTATAAGGGCAATCTTTAAATTTTGAAAACTTAAAGATACCATATGATGAAAAAGGTGGTGGCATTATAATACACGTTTCTTACCACTTTTTTTTATTTTTTTATTTTATTTTTTTGTCATTTAATGCACTGTTCACATGAACAGTGCGTGAACAGTGACCCGTCACTGTTCACGTCCATGAACAATGCGTGAACAGTGACCCGTCACTGTTCACATCCAATTTTTTTTTTTTTTTT